CAGGGATCCAACCCTCAGCCCTACACTTGCCTAAGCAGGCGCTTAGTCCGCTGAGCTATCTTGCCAGCCCTTATCACCGGACTTTTTAATCGAACCTCATGAAGACATGAAAGAGGACTTCCAGAAGGACTTCAGCAAGTGGCAAGAACAATGAGACAGGTACACACGAAGGAAGGGGGAGCAGTCTGAGGGAGAACTCATGACAGTGTCTTTTACTGTAAGAAACTTTTTTTTAACTTAAGCATTCACCGTATATCTTGATCATGCCTTGTACAGAGACAAGAAGTAGACTGGTGGTCACTTTGGGCAGAGACAGGGAGGGGAGAAGAGGGGCTGAGGAGCAGCTGAAGTGCACGGTTTTTTTTTTCGAAGTTAACAAAAATGTACCAAAACTGACGATGGTGAGGGTTGACCCGCTCTGCGGGTGTACAGGACGATGCTGCGCTGTACACGTGGAAGTGAGTAGGCTGTGCGGAGCATGAATTATACCTCAATAAAGTCATTAGGAAAAGTCAGGGAGGCCCAGAAACACAGGGAAGGACAGGCATTGTGCTCAGTGCCACCATGGGCAGCGACGAGCCTCAGAAGCGAATGAGGCTGCGAGGAAGACGCCCACAGGAGGTTTCACTTCAACAAACTTTATTAAGATAGAATTTGCATACACCTGAATGCATCATTTTGAAAGATATAATCCCAAGAGTTTTGTTTGGGCTGTATTAGGGGCTGAACCCAGGGCCTTTGCATCCCCAGCCCTTTTTTCACATTTTGAGACAAGATCTTATTGAGTTGTCAAGTGGCCCAGATCTTTGGACTAGATCTTTCTTGATCCTCCTGCCTCAGCTTCCCAGAGTCCTGGGAACACTGGCATGCACCACTACCACTGCCTCATTTGATGAAGTTTTTGGTTTTTGGTGCCAGGAATTGAACTCAGTCAGGACTTTGTACTTGCCAGGCTGGTGCTGTGTCACTGAACTATATCCCTGCCCCATTCAATGAATTTTAATGGACATACACACCTGGGTAACCAGCCCAGAAATAGAAGGGGGCCATTCTCAGGAACTCACCTTCAGCCTTCGCACCACCCCCAGCTCCCGGTAACCACCAAGCTACTCTCTGTGGCCAGAGCCTTGCATTTCCACAAAAAGGGAATCATCCGGGACGAGCGTGATCTGGGACTGGCGCCCCCACTCACATGATGACTTGGAGACTTCTCTATGCTGTGTGTACAAGAATAGTTCATTCTTTTTACAGCCAAGGAATCTGGTGTAGTACCTCTATGTCATGATGTGTTTATCCATTAACCTGTTGTGGAGTGGCTGGGTCCTTTCCAGCTTGGGGCCCTTGGGAATAAAGCTGCCGCCGTGTGTGCGTAAGTCACTCTGAGGAGGGACATGTTTTTATTTCTCTTTGGTAAATACCTTGGGGTGGACCTGCTGGGCCACACAGACAGCATCTGTGACACTTCATAAGAAATGGCCAAAATGCTCCCAGAGCACTTCCACCACTGG